CTTTGTGCATAATCAAATGTCTCTACAGGTGCTTTCTGAGCTGAAGAGGCTATTCTGCCTCAGACTGGATGCGTCATGCGTGTCCATATTAGAGACGGGAACAAGCGCTGTTCAGCCAAAGTTTCATAATTTCATAAAAAGAACATTTTTCCAAGTGACACATCCCTCAGAGACTGGGTTTCCAGACCGCTTTAGTTGGAGGAAATCTTGCCGCATGCACCGTGGTTCTGCGCTGCGCTGCAAACCCCTCTACAGATCTTCAGCTCACTGTCCACCGTGGGCACTCCGAGCCGCGCTTAGCACAGTGTCCAGTATAAAGCTCTGATGTTCTGATGGGAATCATTTCTTGATTTATTTAGTTACGTCCACGACGTGCGTTAACGATTAAAATGTCAGCTCATCCATGCGCATCAGTGTGCGTTGGGGTAATTATTTAAAAACAACCAACATCCTTGAGTTAATCCGTCAAAATAAACAGTCAAATGGAAATATCTGTAACCTGCCATTTAACTGTTTTGCCTTCTTGTGAAGATTTTTGGAAAGAGAAACAATTAAACTTGATTAACCCCAGAGCCATGCACACTGCGCTGTACTTCCTGACTGTAAATGAGGGGGGGACGGTTTAATCGGATCCTTTTCTTTTCAACGTGGTTTAATGTAAAGTTTCATTCAGTACAAACTTTAGTTACACCAGTCTAACGAGACAAAGCCTGGATTTGTATTCTGAACAGTTTAAACATGTTTAAAACGGAGACATGCGTGACGCGTCTAAAATTCGCACCTGCTCCACTATTATGGAAATTAAACTAACAAGATGAATAACATGAAATTATTTTAGGCACAGACAACATCCCCCACACTTCTGAAAAGGTTGCAACGTGCCTGGTCGCTCGTGTACGTCAAAGTTATCTTTCATAAGACGATAATCAATAAAACGATTTATATAAAATGGATCCAGAAGTTGTAGCCCGTCTGCCTTCAATTTTTGGTATTTTTCACCCTGTTGGTGGTTTTACTGAGCAGGTGCCCCTTTTGTCATACGTTTCTGTTTAAAACATGTTTAGACTGTTCAGAATACAAACCCAGGCTCTGTCACGTTTGATTGTTGTAATTAAACTTTGTAGGTGGGGAAGGTCAGAAAAGGATCCGATCAATTTGTTTTTCCCTCATTTACAGTGACGGAGATAACGGCGCAGTGCGCCTGGCTCTGGTGTTAATCAAGTTTAATTTGATCTATTTTCACAAGAAAACTAAACAGTTAAAAGCAGGGCTTGTGTTGACCGGACAGTTCCCGTATTTGGCCGTTTATTTTGACGGAGAAAGAATAGAAAGAATTACCCCGACGCATGCAGACGAACTGACATTTTATTCTACGCGCATCGCAGATGTAGCTGAATCACTCAAGAAAAGATTCCCATCTGAACATCTGAGCTGGACATTGCTCAGCGCAGCTCACTGTCAGTGTGTACTACATAAGGTGCACAGCGAGCTGAAGATGTGGAGAGGGGCTTGGAGCGCGTTGCAGAACCAGAGCGCATGCGGGAAGGTTCCTCCCACTGAAGCGAGTGTTTTCCAAACCCTGAATCTCAGAGAGACTTGTCACTTAGAAAATGTTCCCTGATTATGAAACTTTGGCTGAATAGTGCTTGTTCCTGTCTCCAATGTGGCAACGCATCCAGGAGCCGTCTGAGGAGAAGCCCAGAATCTGACATCCTCTTCAGCTCAGAATGCGCCGATATGATTACGCACAAGCGTGACGCGTCAACCCGGTCTCACAGTAAGACCTTGTTGGGCCTGTTCAGGTTTACGCAGCCAATCTTTAGATTTAGAATTAGCTTACAGATGTAAAATTAATGCAGTAACATATAGAGATTTTTATTTAAATATCCATTCATTATTTTACAGTCACAGAGAGCCGCATCAGATGGATGGAAGAGCCGCATGCGGCTCCAGAGCCGCGGGTTGCCGACCCCTGTGCTAGCCTACTTTATTGTCCCCAGCAATTTTTAAACCCCACTCAAGTGTATGGTTATTGTCCCCAGCGATTCTGAAAACAAATTGACGCCCTTGGATTCAGGCCAAGCGTAGACCTGCTGAGGGTACAATGGGGAGTGGCTTGAGCAACCTACAAAGCAAAATATTTTTGTTACTGCATAAGTTTGTCTGGATTTGTAGGCCAGCTGTGGTTTTTGCTCAGCAGAAATGATCAGAAAAGTACTACGCACACTTCTTTAAAAATATCATCTTCACTCCAAAATAAGAAGATAACCCTAAAAAAAATCTTCAGAGAGGGAATGGAAGGAGCGCCTCTGTCAGGTGAGATGGGTCAATGTGGTCAGGTTAGCCTCTGGGTGCCTCTTGGGGAAGGTGTTTCTGCCGTGTCCTTCTAAAGGAGACCCCGAGGCAGAGCCAGAACACCTTAAAGGAGGAGGGACGGGTGGAGCTGTCTGTGTGAAGAACATTCTGGGTTTATTTACAACACAGCCCTACCTAAACAGGTAAAAACGAGACAAGATCTAAAGGCTGACATTAAAGAAATCTGTCCTAGAAAAGCACATCCATTTAAATTATTTAATCTTTATTAACTTAATTTCAAAAGCTTTACAAATGTTAAGGCTGGACGGCTCACAGCTCTGGTAGAATTAGATTACGTGTGGTCGTTTTGATTCTACTGCTCTTTATTAAATATTAATTTATTTTACCTCAGACATTAGAGTTATTTCTGTATAAATGGAAAAGCTTCCAGTGCTTTAAAAATAAGCGACACATTTTTATACCTCAGTTCCAAAGGTAAGAGCTGTGCTCAGTCATGCCACACATCAGCACTGTGGACTTCATTCAGACGGCTAATTGCTCGTGGCTCTGGAGCTGGTCCTCATTAACCTTTATGCATTAAGTTTTACAGCAAATCAATGAAGGCCTTTTGATCAGCCATCTGTTGCTGCTAGTTCACCTTTGCAGAGTCTAAGTGACTCACTGGGATCTTTCAAGGGTATTCTAACAGGAAACAGAGCTGTAGGGCTGTACTAGTCCAGCTGAAACCATTGTTGAAGTTTTTATTTGTTCAATTATCTTCTTTTAGTTCTGGTTTTATTTGCAGTAAATTTTGGTTTTCTGTTAAAATTAACAAATCATCCAAAATTTTTATTCCTACCGCAAAAATAAACATGCTTGATTAACTATATGTGCAATTTTTTAGCGAGATTACCTCACTTATAACTTCTAATTGGATTGATGAGCTAATGGCCTGGTCAGTCTTACAATGGATTACAGTTGTTCATTTCTACAGAAGGTACAGAACATATTCAGACCCCCAACAGCTTTTCACTCTTTGTTATATTGCAGCCATTTCCTGAAATCAGTTAAATTGTTTTTTTTCCTCATTAATGTACACACAGCACTGCATATAAACAGAAAAACACAAAATTTTAGACATTTCTGCAGAAAAGAGACAAACTGATCCCACATGGTCTTAAGTATTCAGACCCTTTACTATGACTCTCATATTTAACTCAGATGCTTTCCATTTCTTCTGATCAACCTTGAGATGGTCCTACAGCTTCATTGGAGTCCAGCTGTGTTTGATTATACTGATTGGACTTGATTAGGAAAGCCACACAGCTGTCTATATGAGACCTTACAGCTCACTATTTGATAATTGATTTTAGCAAATGGCTGCAATGTAACAAAGAGTGAAAAATTGATGGGGTCTGAATACTTTCCATATCCACTGCAAATTATTTATTTCAATTTCACTGATTCACATGAATGTGTCAAAAGTAAAGAAATAAGCTCTAGTAACAAATATTTACTATCAAATGGTAGCTGAACAGTAGAGACTGTTCCATTTTTGACATACTGCATTTCATCTGATACACTGTTCCATTTCTTTAAAGTAACATTTCTTTAAAGTAACAGTGTGTAATTTCTTTGACGATAGGGGGCAGGAGACACCTAAATCATTGCTCAGCTAGCTAAACGGCTAACAAACACACACCTCAGTAGAATATGAAAATTGGAACACATCTTGGCAGTTCCTGATGACGTATTTCTTGGGCAACCGGGGCGTGGCCAAGACACGAAGGCGAGGTTCCTTGGCATTGAGAAAAACCCTTAGACCCGTTCCCATTTAGACACGATTTTTATGGTTATAAGTCATGAAACCGTCAATATTTTTCTACAACTGGGTATCTTTTAATTCATTTACAACATTTTACTGGATATTTCGGAGATTAATGGTAAAAACTACACATTGTCATTTTAATGCAAAACTTTCTACTGATGCAGCATTCCATTTCTGACTGGGTGCTGAAACAGCTTTTTATTTTTGATAAGGTACATTCTCCACTAAGTGTTCCATTTATGACACACTGCATGTTCCTCGGAAGGAGAATTTGTTATCATGAGCTGCACTTTGCACTCAATTTCTGATGTCCTTGTGTTTACTTAAACCTTAGAGCAAATATTTACTTTCTTACTGTCTAAAGGGAGACATGTATGTTGATGTAGCATCTCTCTCTTCCCAGTAAAATTAAATTAAGGTTCACATTATGAAAGGGATGTTTACTATGGAAATTAGCAGCTAAGCTAGCTGGGGTGGAAACACATCCCAGTTTCATGTTACACTGAGTGTATAATGGGAGGTTTGGATGCAGCTCCATCCAACCAGCCTACATTTCACTTCATCAGATTGTCAGTAATCATGTAATAATATTTCAATCTGAAGCTTTAATCAGATGAAATTTAGCTGTCATCTTTGTGGATTTTCATGTGTGCTGTAACAGATTATTTGGCTCCCATCTTTCTATCAGTTTTTTGATGAAAACCAGGAATTTTATTAGTATTTTACATTATTGATCACATAAAGTTCTTTTACTTTTTTACTTTAACCTCTTATAAAAGGCACTCAGATTGGGTACTCATCGTTTCCTGCTGTAATTCCCTAATATTTGTCCTATTTTAGAATATAAAAATAAAAGCACTCAATAAAATCAGACAAATTAAGTATGACACAAACATTTTTATTGACTAATAAGAACACAAATAATTATCTACAATGACAGTGACTCCTCTAGCCCTACAACAGTTAGAATACTTTTCTTTTCCAGACATGAAAACTGAAAATACAAAGTTACAGTAAACATGCCGTTTGATAAAAATATCTTTACAAATAAATGTACATTTCTATACAACAGTTGTCACTTACACACCTCTACGAGTCCCATGACTCTGGTTTCATCAAACAGTCAGAACGGCATTAAAACGGCAGAGTTGCTGTGAAATAAACGTGACGGGATTTTTTATGGTAAACGTTCCAAATCGACCCAGATAAACAATGACAGCTGAAAGGTTTGTTCTGAGTGTGAGTGCAGACACGTCACGCTACTGTTGGAAAAACAAGTAAACATCAATCAGAGCTTTGCTCCTTTTGGATACAAAAATAGTGCTAAATATTACAATATAACATAATTTACCAGACATTTATTTTGAAGGGGCACAACGATTTAACCCCAGTGGCTCAGATTTCCCAGAAACGTATTAGTAACATTGGGTTATAATAGGGATTAAATGTTTAATGCAAATATAAATTACAACACATAATTTTCAAGATTAAATGAAGAAGAGTAATTAAAAAAAAACTGAAAGTCTGATGTTTTAGGTTAGAGGTGCAGCAATCACAGTTTTTCTAGGCCAATTCTGAGAAATATTTAACAATAAATATGGTTTTATAATTTCTGGATGAAGTGAAGATTAATGTGTCAAATAAAATATTCAAAGTAAAATAACATCCTCCAGGTTAATGAACAAATATCAGCATGAATACCCCATCTGAAAAAAGGAATTGACTATTTTCAATTCTGATTTTAGAGCTCATGTGGAAAAATGTATTTTCACACCTTTGGTGCATCTGCAGAATTTTCCATGCAATAGAAAAACAATGAACACTAATTACTGCTAGGAAATTAGCTGCTTGGCTAGTGGTAAAAAAAAAAAAAAAACTTTTTGCTTCCAACTTGAAGAGGGCACTTTTGCAAAAGAGATTTTCTTTTTACTCCAAACTGGTTAAAACAGAATTCTGAAGTTTTTAATAATCGGAGGCCACCACCTAGAGGTGGAACAATGTATTGCACATTAGCCCCTATCCCAAATTACGTGGTTCCCCTATTGTTCGTCAACACACATCTTTTTTTTCAAAGCCTTACTCCTCCATAAGAAATGTCACCAACTCTGCATCAGATTTCTGCTAATGCTCGTGAACCCTCTGTGACTGATATCTGTACATCAGCAGATGTCTAACGCTACTGCCTAATGCTGAGCGGGCTTTAAGGGATGGTGGAGGGCTTATCCTACATTTTATCAGCACAAGGGATGAGCCTATCACTTTTACAGATTTCTAAAAAAATCATACATGGATACTTAAATAGGAAAAACTCTGGATTACTGCTTTAAATATTAAAGTTCCAGTAAATTAAAAACTGCTTTATTCTGGTCATGGCTGAATGATCAATGCACCTCTGGTTCAAATTAAACCCTGAACATTAAATTAAATTGTCTAGATTGTACAAAAAGCATACTTTATCAATGTCTCAAAATCTTGATGCTTTATTTATTTATCAGGCCAGTTTTCGCTAAAACAATCCCGTAAACGTACACCATAAAACACAGGTACACACACATTAATGACTAATAATCAGTGCTGACTTTTAAAATCATAATTCAGAACACAAGATGCATCAGTTCATTAAGTAATAAATTAAATTAAAGACAGAAGCAGAAAAAAGTTTGAAAATTGTACGAAATGATGTTTTCAGAAGAATTTTATCATCTGATGACTTGATGCTAGCAGCTGGGAGATCTGGTTTCCAGTATAAAACCATAACAGGAGCGAGCACGGGACCGGAGAACAAGCTGACATGAAGTTTGTTAGAGACACAATTTCATTAGCAGTAATTTATTAGTAATCAGGTTTATTAGACCTGCACATGATGGTGATTTAAGGGAAACGGGAAACCCAATCAGAGAGCATTTTAAAGATTACATTTAGATTTTTGCCTTTTAGGTTCAAGGTTTCATCACTGAGATTAAATCAGAGCACAATAATAATAAAAAGGGTGCAGCAGCAGCATCATGGCTCCATGCTGACTGAACCAGGAGGATGCCGGGGTTCTGCTCCCTGGGCGGAGTTCCTGTGTCAGAGCTGGCTCTTCACCACAGGAAGCCCTCTCTGCTTCACAAGCTTGGCAGGAGTTGTGGTCCATGATGGAACGGCCCCTCTGGGCATTCTGTGTGATAAATGGATAAAGCCGGATAACATTTCGCTCACAGCTACTGGTTTTTATGCACGAGTCTAATCCAAAACCAGATGGCAGCCATATTTCTGTTATTCTCTGAACACCGCTCCGCAGTCGCAGGTCGCTCTCATTTGAATTAATTTGATACTTGAACAAAAACAACAAAAAAAGAAAAAAGATTGAAAAATTACAGCGCAAGCACATTTTTATAAAAGCATCAACAACCCATCAGCATCGTGTTTTAGACTTTTATTTATAAACCTGCTTCCTCCCTGTCAGAATCATTATTTCAGGACCACTTCAGTGTTTTTCTAACAAGTTATTCTTATAATTATTATTTTTTTCATTACAGAGCACATCTCATTTGGTTTGTGCTGCAGGCTTGGAAACACGATTCAGAATCTCTTTACAGTCCTGATTAGGCATCTTGATCCCTCACAGATCCTTGAAAGCGAAGATGGAGTCTAAAACCTACAGCCAGGAGTTGACTTCCTCGCCCTGCAGAGATAAAACACACCATGTGACTGCCTCTCCTCTACAATCTTCCTGTAAAACGATGTGAATCTGATCAGGAGTAGGCAGCTTGAATTATTTTCTGCTGGATTTGCATGTAATCCTGCTGGACAATGAAGCTCCAACCATGATTTGTGGTGAAACATCTGCCTGTTCTATACACTGAGGAGGATTTAAGGTGTTTGTAACAGTAATGCAAATATGTGGCCTAGTTAAAGGGATTAAAACTCAGAACTTGCATGAAAAGGCTGATAAAAGCCATAGTTAGTGGTTTTTTTTACCACTAATTAACAAAATTTTCATAATCTCAGAAATAAAGTGTTTAATTTGAATAAAATAACATAAAATCTGACATTTAGAACCTAATCTGGTTCATTTATAAATCATTTGAGTTTGCTTTCATTAAAGGGACTTTACGGAGTTTTGAATTTTTATGCTCGCGATTGCCCCCTCAGGCCAAAAGCGTAATGGCAGCTTCAATAGTAGGCTCGTGCACGAGGCGCGCATGCTGTACGTGCACACTCCTTAACGAAAATAACAGCTGAGACAGTCCCGTGTGTGTGTGTGTGTGTTTGTGTGTGTGTGTGTGTGTGTGTGTGGCCCAGAGGACAGAGGACAGGAGAACGCGCAGCTAATTAATTAAATAATTTGGTTCTGTGCCTTTCTCTTCAGCACAGCCGACGAAGGTTTAAGATGGGTCAGTCCTCCTGCATGCTCAGATCATTCCCTTCCCTTGCTTGAAAAATTCTTCCAAAATGAAAGTTGAACCCACATCTTTTTTATCTGTGAATTCAATGCCGTTCGGCGAGCCTCAAATAAAAATTTGGGCATCTTACTGTAAAATAATGTACATTATAATGTATACCATTAATGTAAAACAGATACTCTAAATAAACTATGTTCTCACCCAGAATTGAATCTAGGTCTTCTACACGAGAGTCTATCTCTTACTAGGTGAGCTAAAGGGCTGGTGACGTCTTCTGTATCTGTAACATTTATATCCTTGATGACAGCTGAAACAACTTCAAAGAACAGTTTGGAGCGAAAATGGCTATTTTGTTGCTAATTTGCAGGAAATATCTAGAAGAAAGTTCTACAGAAAGTAGCTAAGGTCCTCAGAAATGTAGCTAGCTTTGTCACTAGGCGTTGGGAACAGCGACAAAGTGGAACTGCCTCTCTCTCTGCTGCTAAAGCTACAGATAGCAAATGCTACGGGCTATGCCTGAGCGTGAACACACATGAAGCAGCCTGCTCGACCTGAGCAGCTCGCTTTTTCTGTGATTTTACAGAAAAAAGGCAATCACAATAGAAATGCCAGGGCTCATTCTACAGGACCAGGGCATTGCAGGAGAATGTATGAAGAAGAAATGTATTATTTCTATACATGTTTTGGCTGTCAGACTTCCATAATGCCCCTTTAACACTGGACTATGCTATTTTAAGGAAACTTAATTTTTGGACATAAATCTGCCACTGATGAACTTTTGGAGCCAATTAAATAAGAACAACAATAACTAGTTTTTATAACGGAACTATTAATTAAATCACTTGAATGTACCAACTATATTTTATTATACTACAACAATATGAGTAGTATAGAAATAAAATATCCCTCTGTAGATTCTCCACCAGAGGGCAGTAGACATGAATAGGACAGTGTATAGCAGGATTTGATGAAGGCACTAATACACATACTCCACCTGGAGTTGTGTTTATTCCTTTAACGCTCGTTGATGCAGTTTTTTTTATTTTAAATTTGCAAACAAACAGTGTGGTTTAATGAATAATTCATATTGACTTCCAGACTTTTTGGCATTAGTAACACTCTAAACAATAACCTTTGGTAGAACCACATGCCTTCCACTGACTCATGGAAAATTAGAGTTTTTAATGATGAGTTGAATAGATTTCAGAGCACTTTCTCTCTGTGTGTATGTGTGTATTTAAAGGTTTATGTAGACACATTTTAACTTTTAACCTGTAGTGTGTGGACAATTTCACATTGTGGGGACCTTTGGCTAGTCCACACGATGACAAAATACCCTAAAATGACATTTTAGAGATATGGTGTGAATTAACTTTTGTTTAGGTTAGGGTTAGGAATAGAACAACATCGGTTATGATTAGGATTGGGGTATGGTTAGGCATAATACAGTCACAAAAACAAAACCAACCAAACAAACAAATGAATGAAAGTCAAGGGAGGATCCACACAAGCATATTAATGTGTGTGTGTGTGTGTGTGTGTGTGTGTGTGTGTGTGTGTGTGTTAAAACACACTTCTGGTCGTGTTCGTTTTTCAGATTTTTTCCCTCTTGGTTTAAACTCAACAATTTCTGTGGGTTGAAACAAGAAAGAGCAAAAAAAAAAAAAAAAGACAGTGATGTGAAACACAGAAGCCAAGCTGCCAAGCCAGTGGCTGAGAATAGAAAAGGGTGCAAGTCCTTGTTGGCCTGAGTCAGTCCTAAACCCTTCCGAAAACGTGTCCAGTCACACAGAGATTGTATCCAAGTGACCTCCATCTGAAGATGCTCCTGACAAGGCTGGTGGAGAAAAGACCCAGGGCCTTCATTAAAGCAAAAAAAAAAAAAAAAAAAAAAACCTAAATGAATTAATGAAAGAGGAAACACTTGATCCCACATGACTAACATCAAAATATCATTTTTCTGAAAGGTTTTTGTCTATTTTTATTAACACAAGGGGTGTGCCGATTCACCCGTTAATCGATGCATTGCAGTGCAGCGAAATGCCAAAAACAGCCACAATGCGTGGGAAGAACAATGAAGTTATGCGTGCTGCTCAGACACTTTAGGTGACGGACCAGTTGAAAAAAAACAACAACAAAAAAAACAGCAATGGCGGAAGCTTGTTCATTATCTTTAGCCACTGAGTGTGAGATGGTGGCACAGGAGTTAAGTGCTCGCCCCGTAATCGGAAGGTTGCAGGTTCGAGTCCCGCTCAGTCTGTCGCTATCGTTGTGTCCTTGGGCAAGACACTTAACCCACGTTGCCTGCTGGTGGTGGTCGGAGGGACTGGTGGCGCCAGTGCTCGGCAGCCTCGCCTCTGTCAGTGCGCCCCAGGGCAGCTGTGGCTACATTGTAGCTCATCCCCACCAGTGTGTGAATGTGTGTGTGAATGGGTGAATGACTGATTGTGTTGTAAAGCGCCTTGGGGGGTTCCAGGACTCTAGAAGGCGCTATATCAAATACAGGCCATTTACCATTTACCATTCACTCGCCAGGATTGAAGAAAAGGTTTTTAGTTACATTGAAATAAAATACAACAGCAACCAGGGTTGTCACGGTGTGAAAATTGAACCTCACGGTTATTGTGACCTAAATTATCACGGTTTTTGGTATTATCGCTGTATTTTTTTTAAACGTGTTACATTTTCAGACAATTAAATAAACCCTGCATATCAGGAAAATATTGTCCTCGGTTTGCGTCTAAATTTTGCCTGAAATTTGACATTTTGTAATTATGTTGTTTATTTGTTTACATTTTTTCCCTTTAGTCTTTAAAATACCAACATTTGCCCATAACTTCTTATTTTTTGTCTGTTTGATGTCATCATTTTAAAAGTATTAGATCAGATGATACTCAGTACTCAAGTAGCCTTCTAATCAGATACTTTCTTACCCTTACTTGAGTAATAAACCCTATATCAGGAAAATGTTGTCCTCGGTTTGTGTTCTTCCAGTGAGCTTTGCAGATGTGGGGAAATGTCATCAGGCAGTAATCGTTGTTAAATTCATAATTATTCTCGGAGAGAGACCAACTCTTATCTGCCCCTGGGAGCCCCGTAATGCATAGTGTCATTTCAACATGGGGGTGTCCGCGACACGGTTTATATGCAGGTAGCGGCGCTGCGGCTGCTTTATATAGCGACTCATTGCATTCTCCCTCAACCCAAATCCTCGAATCACGCATTTTAGCTAAAACACTAACGTTAGCTTGCCTTACGTTGACTGTAGAGTTGTGGGTGATGGTCACGCAGATGTGTCATGAGATTTGAAGCGTTGCTTCCTTTCACAGAAACTTTTTCCTGCATGTGCTGCAAACAGGATAGCCGTCTTCTATCAACTGTCCCTCGGCATTCTTCAAATATCCAAAAAAATGCCCGCACTTCCCACTTTGTCTTCTTTGAGGGATAATAAATGTTCTGAGCACTGCCGTCTCATCCTTTGGCCATTATTTCAGCTTTAGCTTCAAGAAAGTTTTGGTTGTAAACAACAAAGTGCGCATGTGGGCAACTTCAGCGGATGATACGGTGGCTGGTAAGGGTCACCGCACCTACACCACAGCCACGGTAATCCACCGAGATAATATTTTTTTTTAAAAATAAGACGGTTATTATTATTGTCATCTTTTTTACTGGGGTTTACCTCTACACTAGATACCGTGACAACCCTAACAGCAACACAACCATCCCGGGTTAGATAAAGAGAAGAAGCCAGTGGTTGTTCCTCCTAACCATTCAACAATCGAGGAAGGATTAAGAAAATAATCACGCAACTCCAGCTGTTTTTAAAAAAAAACTACGATGCTACTTTGTTGCAAAGTGGAGGCAGCACAAGAGAGCCTTTGGCTGTTTATAATTGGTCAGTCTGTGGCGGGAATTTGGCGCAATCACGTTTTTCACTACAGGTTACATGATGGCAATATAAAGTGGGTGTGGGAGCTGTCTCTGCGCCATCACGGACTTCATTTAAGCTTGGATGTAACTTGCTTTTTATGCCGATTGAAGCAACACTCCTTAAGTTTTTCCACAAGGTGCTCCGAAAAGCATTTGTCATTTACAGTTCCCGTGAACCGTCTGGTGATCTGAGCTTCATCTAGAAGCTATCGCATTTCTGCGACTTTCATTTTCGTTATTCATGTTTCTTCTGTAGATTTTGTGCAAAAGTATGTAGGGTAAGTGTTCAGTCTTACATAAATAATACAGTGGAGTAAAAGGTTTTTGATCATTTGAACTACTACATGTGTGCTTAATTAATTTGGAAGTATGAAAAAGCTATGATGTGGATCTGCAACAGAATCGGCTTTTAAAATCCCCCCAATCGATCTGCTTCCAACTCACACTAGTGTCCTCTACTAAACGAAGTAAAGATGTAATTATTTGTATTTTTCAGAGCTTATTGTGAACATTGTCTGACTGAATATGAAGAGCTGACCATCGCCGAGCCAGATGGAGTCAGTGCTGCATCATTACCCACTCCCTGTGAGGGGAGAAGCAGGGAACTCTTAACCTTAGGCCTCAACCCCCCTCCGCCTCTTCACAATTCAATTATCATAATGTTGTTTATGGGAAGTTCTGGCCCATTGGAATGCCGTTAACGCTCCCTGTGTTGAACTCTGTATAATCTGCCCTTCAGTGATGCTGCTTTCCTAAATGTCACGTAGCACACGACTTCTGAGATGATTAACGTGAGTTTTGGAGGCACTGAAGACACCGCTGAGCGGGTTTTTAATAAGATCTGGATGTTTAATCAGGATGCACCAGAGGAGCAGATCCTGTAATGGACACGTTGGTTTAACAGGAACCCAAAGCCCTTACCTCATCTCAGTTGTCGATGTCTGATACGTGGTTCTCTATCTAAAAGCAAAAGAGAGAGAGAGAACACAGGAAGGAAGTCAGCTCCCAGGTTGTAATTTAACTTTTTAAAGGTCACCCATGATAAAGGCTCAATGGGAGCACAGCCCTTTGTGCTAACTTATCTAAAAATGTGATCAACGTGTCCTTCTGGAAACAAATAAACCCCCTCAGATGTGTTGTTAAGGCATAATATCCGATAGAGAGAAATGCAAAGCTTTCATCAAGGCTGTGCTAACCGGGTTATGGCTAATAAAAGAGGCGTTACAAAAGTAAGGCATACAAAAAGCATAGATTAGACTCAGGATAAGTGCTTTGATGTTGCAAAATACAAGTTTTTCCTGTATTTTTGATTTTTTTTATTATAAGTAACATGTTTTGACGGCTGTATAATATAAAACACTGAGGGTGTTTTGAAAGCATCGGCATGCAAATGACTGTTATTAAACTAAAATATAATTACAACACCAGCCAGGGTTGCAATAAAAGGATCACAATTAAATTGCAGTTTGAAAGCAACACTGACACTCAGCTTTCAACCTTCAGAGGAAATGATGAATAAAAACCTACCATAATAATGTTAAATGAATAAAAATGACAGCAAAACGGCAGTTTTTTTTTGTTTGCTTTTTTGATAAAAGAACCTTCGACAGATGGAAATCTGTCCTTTTTTTTAGAAATCACTGATGTGATAAATGAGCGCTGACGCCAAAGCTCGCTGAGATCAAATGGCTTCGCTGAATGCAATCGATATAAGCTTTGAGAGAACAATCACATTAGAGGGAAGACTGATGAAAGCTGCTTCTCTCTGGAATTAGAGCTGAAAAAGCTGGCTCGATAATCATTTGAACCTCAACCGTTTTACTTTATCTGTCATGGAGGAGCGGTAATTATGCGAGTTTATTACTGAAATTTCAATAAATAAGAAAATATGTGTTTTTAGTTGTTCCTATCTGGATGTTAGCAACAAACTAAACAGGTTTAAATAAAATTCCTATTGTAGATCTGAGATACTAACCTATGAAGTCAACACAGTTCAGGCAGAAAGCATTCAGAGTACTTATTTTAAAGGGACTGCACCAGCAGGTGACAGAGTAGTGTAGACTAATGTTTTTAACGCTGTTTACGGCCCAGGAGGTTCAATGAAATCCAGAAGCCAGAACACAACAACAAAAGCCAAAGAGGACAAAAAATAGCACATTTTAAACGTTAATACCTTAATTACTACCTGAATGTAAATAAGTAAAAGATGGCAGTGTTTGTGACTCATACCACCCCTGTAAAGCACAGCGGTCCTGAATGCGTTTTTCTCTCTTTTATTTATGCTTTCAGCATAATTAAGGTAATAGAATAATTTTTGCAAATAAGTGATACGCAGGTACACACCTGCCATGTCACCAGTTTTGTTTGTCACACTGTAGATTTTGCTGTTGCTTTGTGGATGCTATTTTCAGTGAACCTTCTGGGCCACCGTACATTTATAAAGAACAGAACCAATTAAATTCAATTTATTGATGTGGCACCAAATCATGACACTTCATTATGCCCATCAGTAAAAAGTGAAACCCAGCAGATTGTATCGAGTCACAGACTAGTGTCAGTGTCTTTCAGAGGGGTGACCAAGTCACTGCTTTGCGAGTCACAAGTAAGTTACAAGTCTTTCCAGTCAAGTCTCGAGTCAAGTCCAAGTCAAAGACAATCAAGTCCAAGTCGAGTCCAAAGTCCAAATCACAATAGAAATGCCAGGGCTCATTCTACAGGACCAGGGCATTGCAGGAGAATGTATGAAGAAGAAATTTATTATTTCTATGTATGTTTTGACTGTCAAACTTCCATAACGTCCCTTTAATGAAGAAATATGTTTTTGCTGCTGGTCTCAGTTTAGTCATCTCATGGGGAAGAAGTGCAGATCATTTGGAAGCCTCAACAAAATAAAAGCATTTATAATCTTATCAGAGGGTTGACATTTCTGTAATTAATAAAGTTTTGGGCTTTTTTTCAGCAAAACAAGCTACTTGATAGAGCCATCCTGAAATTTTTACATTTTTCAAAACAAAATTAAAACCCTAAAAACAGCGTTTTTTTTTTGTTTCTCCTTCTATGATCTTGTAGTTGAAATGCTTCTTGTCCATCGACCACTTCATAGTTAATGTGGTTCATACCAGGTCCACCCCATGTATCTGAAACCCACTCCTTTAATTAAAGCCTGTAAGTATGTGCGCAAGCCTCTCGTCCTGTCACAGCCCCGGTGGACTGACAGAAACTGTCAGACCAGGCGCTCTCACTTACTCTGTGAAGCCCTGATCTGCCACAACTGTGGACATGAATAATTCAGGAAAATTAGCTTTCAGCCAGTGAAGACGGCGTCTTCTTGAGATCTCCCAAAGTGCTTTGCTTCCTCACTGCCCCTGACAGTCCTGTCAACCGTCTCTTCTTACCAGATGGTGGCTTCCCTCCTCATCGTAGTCGTCCTCGCCTCCATCGGTCATCTCCCCTGCCTCCACATCCAGCGCCCCCTCGCCGGCCTCCTCGCCAGAGTTCTCTGCTGTCTCCGACACGGACTCCTCGTGCAGGGAGTCACAGTTGTCCTCATACTTTCTTTGAGCCTCTGAAACAAGGAAGGGAAGAAAGTGCAGTCAGAAAGCTAACAATTAAAACTCTCTAAAATAAAATTTTGATGCTTCTTTTCTTTTTGTTTAACAATTGGTGACATTTTGATTGAGCCATTCATCTGGTACGGTGGCTTTGATGAGTCTCTTTTGGACATTTGGTGTATTTTTAAATCCAAATAGTTTGCATCAACATTCAACTTGATACATTATATAACATGAACTTCTATAGTTTATTTTATAGTTTTGCCTTTGAATAACACAGGATGTTGATTAGAATTGGAAAAGTGATTTCCTAAATAAGAAAAGAGAGGTATTGATTTTTGTGTCATCTTTGACAGCAGCCTCTGAAACGATAAACCCATCTCTGGATCAATGCTTCAGTCTCTGGAGCTTGATGTCTTCATTCTTTATTGTCTAGTGTTCCCATCTGTCCAGTGTTGGGTCTTTAGTGGAGTTCCTGAATGCAGCGGTGTTCTCCTTCATCTGTTCCTTTAATCCTGAGTTTATGTGGAGAACAAGTTCTTTACTTTCATGTAAGTTCAGACTTTATCTCTCACCATGTCCTCTGACCCGGTTCTACCACTCCAAATGACAAACTGGACAGTTGCGTTGACGTTTTTGTGTCATGAACTAATTAAAAACCAGAACCGTGTGGCAATTTTCTGCCCACATGACCTTGACAGTGCTGTGGCATCTATAAAGAACCGAGTCAGCGTGGCGTTGACACCTGTCTGCTGAGGTGACAGAGAGCTCTGCAGCTCTTATCTCCGACTGTGTCACCAAGACTTATGGCCTACGTGTACGTTTAATTTCTTTCTGTTCCTCACCAGACTCGACTCTCTGCTGCTTCTCGATCTTCTCCAGACGTCCCAGTAAAGAGTCGATCTTCACCTTAATCTGAGTGAGCTCCCGTTTAATCGTCTGGAGCTGGTCCGTCTTCACTGGAACGACACACAAACGGCCTCAGTCAGTTTGTTTTGGTTTCGTTTCTGCACTCGTGTTTGACGAACATTAATACCCTCATCACTCTGAGTCACATCTTCCTCGGGGGAAGAATGCCTCAGTCTGACAAACAGAAAAATAATCCTGCTAAAACTGTGGACCTGCTGGTTTTCAATTTAGAGATTAGTGTGCAGCTTACGCCCACCACGCGGCACAGCGCTGCGCCAACGGCTCTGCCAAATCTGAACAATCTCCGTTTAGCTGTATCAAACAGTTGTAGAAGTAAATATGAAGGCATTTCAGAGAACAGAGCGAGGTAGCTAACAACCCATGGTGGCGTTTCATTATTTTTAAAGAACGCAGAAAAACTTCTAAAAATTAGATGTAAGTTGCAAAGATGTTTTATAATTAAGATTAACGTTGCACACTCTTATTTCAGCTGTAGAAAAAATGACAGTTTTATTATTGTTTCACCTTATTTGATTGAAATTCTCCACAATGGTAATTTTAATAAGCTGTTGTTCATTCCTTGCTTGATAAAACACCCACAATCCATACACAATTGAGGTTGTTTTATGATCAGACTTCTGTTCTAGTCTGGTCAACAGTTTAGTCTGCAACAAACAAAGACATCAAAGCATGTTCCATCCTCCGACGTGAACGATTTTATTGCCTCACTTTACAGTTCAGCATGAGATGCAGCGGCACAATCTTCCCTCCCACAGCTTCTGTTTACTGCTTCATGAATAATTTGCTTCCTTCTTCCTGCTTTGCTTTGGGTCTTAAGTGGTCTCCTGATAATACCCGTCTGAGATTGGGGTAATGAAGCGCGACTGCATCATGTCGAAGTTTTAAGACTTAACCTGGATATGTCATGAGCTAATAACAGCCGAAAATAAAAATACTTATCAGAGGAATGTCAGCATGAATTCAGCCTGAAATGAGGCTGCGCTCGTTTGGAGAAGATTAGAGAATTTAGACCATTAAGTAACAAGGTAATCTCATTCCTTAACTCTTGGCAGATGGAATGTGTCATATGCGTTTTTGAGAAGAAAACAGAAAATTCTCCCTTTCAGATCGTATCTGAGGCAGCGCTGGAACGGATGAGCGCTCTGTAAACAAACCCACGAGTTCCCTCTAAAGCTTCAGCTGGAGATCAGAGATGGGAGACACGAACAAAATCCAAACATAACTTGTTTGTTATTGTGTTTATGTGTGGCTCTTTAACTTAAGATTCATCAATGTAGATTTACGCCCACACAGCATCACAATACCTCCAAAGTCTCTACGCTCTACTCTGCATAATCTAAATTCATGAATTAAACATCCCCCCCCCCCAAAAAAAAAAGAAAAATCTTTGACGTATTACCTTGGAGTAAGGTATTCTCCTCTAAAGGACATTTTAATCTTTCACAAGTATTCAACCTGAAAAACAAAACAACAGCTGCCCCAGCAGGATGCAGAGCTCGCTGTATGATATTTGTCATCACAGAGGCTTTTTCCATATAAAAGGGCAGGAAGATGGATGCTACCAAGGAAAAGAAACCTGCTCTGATTGGAATCCATAGGTAACGTGTGATAGGAGACCCCAAGAGATGTTCTCATGTTGTTTTTTAAAGCTGCTATCGACTAAATCTTCTAAAGAGGGAGAAAAAAAAATGCTGGAAGACATTAAATATACAATCATATCTCTGTTGGGGGGGGGGGGGGGTATTGATGTGCCGTTATCTCCTCTGCATCACCTGTTTTCATTTGTCCAAACATGGTATCCTGGTACATGCTTTTCCTTAGTCCAGCGTTATCGGAGCCCCACTCTGGGCAGCTTACGGTCACCCTTTGATGATAAGAAAGTGTGGAACGGTTTTTAATTTATCCGGACCTCCAGGCCGCTTTGGTGCTTTCAACCACATAAGCTGCTGAGAGAAAACAAACGTGACCTCATCTAGAAGAGATCCATCAGCACTGCCTCTTGAGATAGTCTGTTTTTTAGGAAAACGGTGGAGAAACCTTGCTTTTAGTTAGAAGCATCAAAGAATGAGTGATGGGTGTAATTTCTAGGTCTTCATGAAGAAATGAAGCTAGGGTTCTAAACTTTAAATTATTGTGATAACTCAAAACATTGATGGATGTTGAGCAGAAAAAAAAGCACCAGCAGAACAATTTATACATTTCAAAAGAGTACAATGACAAAAATAAAGGAATAATTACCGGTAGGCAATTTTTTTCCCCAATTTTTTGATAAAACTGATAAAACTCCCAATGCTCTCTAGTACTGGTCTGTCCACCAGCACCATGCCAATCAGCTTAAGACTAAACAATCACTTATTATTCTGAAAGGTGTGCCTCAGGGCACTATCCTTGGCCCATCTTTATTCTCTAATTACATTAATCAGGCTGCCAAAACTTCAGATTGTTCTCAGAACCATATGTATGCAGATGACACCCTCTCATTGTCAGCTGGACTTTCTGTGCACACTCTTTGCAACCACTACCCCTTTGTCAGCAAGATGCCTGACATCTAGCTGGACTTATTTGCATTTCACCCAAATCTTGTGAACACCTTTTCTTTGTTAAGGCAGTTTTCCACCAAAGGGAACCTTCTAAATAAAGACATCAAAATGCCTACAATGTTCCTTTAAAATCACCCCCCCCCCCCCCCCGGCAAACATTTTTTTAAATAAAAAATATACATTTTATAATAAAGTTACCAAATGTAACCAAATATTGTTAATAACAAAAAAAAAATTAAATAAAAAAAAATAAAAAAGAGGACAACATTTACAGTGAGGTTGTGAGAGCTGTTTTCAATTTATGTCCAAAATAAAGGCATTGATTAGACTACAAATTATTTCTAATCAAGAAATTTTTAGCATCAACCCATGAATAACAATAAGGTTAAATTTGAGATTGATGCTGATGAATAACATAAAAAAAATGGCAAATAATGTTTTCTTTGTTTTAATGTTCGGTAACCTGCTGCACATTTGTATTCAATAGGATTACTGGAAGCTGTGTTTTTTAAATTCTTAAGGTGGCTCCTCACATAGCTACTTCTTCATTTGAACTAATTATTCAGTTAATGATAAATGACCCACACTTCAAAACACTTTACATTAAAGGATTTTCTTATTTAAGTACTCAATCCCAATTTTAAGACATCTGAGGGTCTGTCATACTTAAATATTGATCCAAGCCTCTTTGGTGACGCTATAAAAAATATAAAAACATGTAAAATTGCAATGCAATTATGCATATATATATATATATATATATATATATATATATATATATATATATATATATATATATATATATATATATGCTTTATTATGTGAATATTTTCTGCTTTGAATCCATTACATAGACTTAAAGTGTTAGTTCAGGAGGTGACTCACAGCTTTATCTGATGCCACGTCTACTTTATGTAAGATTTGTCTTTTTATTTCTAATTTAATAATAAGTGTAACATCTTTTAGCCAATTTAGATTTTAGCTTTGTGAGTTATGTCACTGACAAAATGTTTTGTTCCTGACTTGTGCAGGAAAGACATCAAGGAATACCTTCAAATAGAGGTTCCTCAGTCTAGGGGACCCAACTGAAGGTCTTGGAACATCAAGTGTGGGGTTCTGAGATGAGGTTAAAATTTACCCATGGCAAGATTAACAAGGAAACTATAAAAGTGTGACAAACTTGAAACTTTTTTCTATTTAAGAAACTGGATTAAGTGATAATGTATTAATGGATCTCATTGATAGTTAATCTATTTTGTTTTTGGATGGCGGAAAAATTAAAAATTGGATTAATCAAATACATGAAAAACAGATGAAACTCCATTGAACACATTGATTGTGATTTATAGATAACAAATCAACGTTTTCATTTAAACTTTTGGGGTGTTTTATTTTCCTCAAATGGGACTTCGAAGAGCAAAGATTAAATCCACGGAATGTAAACACAAAGTGTTTATTTATTTATCTGCTGGAGTGAATCATTAGCGGCACAGCCACAGCGGTCCCAACCGCTCACCCTGTTGTTTGGACAACCCTAACCTTATTCTCCCATCCAATCCGTCTCAGCCAAAGTCAATACAAGCAGCCATTTTTCACATTCTCGACGGGCGAAAATTAGTGTCCCCTACGTCCAGAAGCTCTGCTCAGGTCACAGAGAAGAATTTATTGACTCCCTCCAAAAAATGGACAAGATGGGTTTTGAAAATTCCTCCTCCCTTTGCTGTAATAGCAGCTGCAGCCAGGTCCTCCTGACAGGACCAGACCAAGCTGCTAAAACTGATAACGGCGAGCCAAGATGGCAAACAATGGAACAAACCCTGTAACCAATTACACAGCTGACCACTGAGATGCTCCCAATCTCACACTAATAACATTCAGGATGTTTTAATGCATCTTCAGTTAATCAGAGAAGTAAATGAGATCCGGATGGATGCCGAACGGTCTCCGCTCAGTGAGATTGGTTTCATACTGACATTATACGTATATATATATATATATATATATATATATATATATATATATATATATATATATATATATATATTAGGGCCAGGACTTTAACATGTTAACTATGATTAATTAATTAGAAAAACATAACGTGTTAAAATAAAATTCACACATTTAATCGCAGCTTGCATTTCGAGCAAGGCAGAACCTTTGTCATTGCACGACTTCCTCGTAGACTGAATATCACTGACGCACACAACAATGCACAGCGCCAATGGCTACTAAAACGGAATAAACACAGAAATAAGTTGCCTTTCTTGGACTGATGCAGGATTTAGGAAACACGTCCGCCTCTTTTCTTAATCTGTATGATTGCATGGAATGCATTACCTAGATTTTTTATTTTTGAAAGTAATAACATTTCTTTTCAGAAGAAACTGAAAAATTTTTGTTTACACACTTAATAGTATAGTGACTATGAACTCAGTAACGAAGGATTGAGAATCCGGGTTTGAGATTGAATACTGGATATCTATGAACTATGATACGAAACAATGGACATGATGTCACCATTCTGTTATATTTTACTTTCAATCTTTATTGGTGTGATTAACTCCTCTCCCGATATTAGTTTATATATGTAATTTTGTTCTAAATATGTGATTTCATCTTGAGCTACTGGTATTATGTGAATTAGGGATTTGTGTGTGTGTGTGTGTGTGTGTGTGTGTGTGTGTGTGTGTGTGTGTATTGGGTATTGTCTTAAGTAAACAATTGTATGAAAATGTATGAGCACTTAGGCAGAAGCTAATGAGGATCTCAATAAAACGAAACGAAACCTGGCTGCTGCTGGGAGAATGCTCCGTGTTCTCACTACTCTGTAAACAATCACAAACAACGTGTCAAAGTTGAAAACAGAAGCTTAAGTTAAAACAGAAACAGAAACTTTTCCGATGATTTTCTAAACAATTCTGTCGGGGAATTACATGTTTCTGAGATGAGTCACTGTCTAAAAATCACATGCATTACTATCATTAAGCAGAGGTGTGTTGAAGCTGTCATCAGCTAAGGGGCAGATTCTTAAGTGTATCAGGGGCAGCGAGGAACGAGAACGTTGTGATCAGGCTGGAGATCACACCAGATTCGCTGCTGCAGGTGTGAATCTGCGGGTCTGCAGCATCCCCTTCTTAACGTGACAGCAGGACTTCCCATGTAAGGAAGGTCCGCTCACCTGTTCGTCAGATCATTATTTCCTCGCCATGATCTTTTATTTTCCCATCAACCTCCAGTCATCCAACTGGAACCAGTTAGTGTTCCTGATCATTCTCAGAATAAGTCACACCTGCTCTGGTGTTAAAAGTTAGTACATTGAAGTCCTAGATCATATTTGTGCCTGTTCTACTGTCATTTTGAAGGATTATTATTTATATGTGTGTTTTTACTACATTATGAGTAAAAATGCTAATAAAACCTCCCAATTATACAAACAAGTGAAACTGGAAAAATTAGAATCAGGTGCAAAGTCAAATTTATTTCAGTAATTCAACTAGACAGAGAGACTCTTTAAAGGCTCAGGAACCCTTTGCAGACGTTTTCTATTTGTAATTATAAATTTGAGTTGATTTGGGTCTTGTTTCATATCACACAGTGACATTTGAATAACTAAAATGAAGTTTTTTGATTAAAAGCTTTAGTTTACAGTAATAACCATGTCTAATGTTTGATTCTCTGTCTCATAATTTTAATTAAAAGTTTTGCTTTGAGAGCACATTTTCCTGAACGATTAAAATGTGATTAATTTAGATTAATTAATTACAAAGCTTCTAATTAATTAGATAAAAAATTTTAATCAAGTCCCAGCCCTAACATATATATATATATATACACATATATATATATATATACACATATAATATATGTACACATATTTTATATATATATATATGTGTGTGTGTGTGTATACAGTGGTTAAAAATGAATAAAAAAAAAGATTTTACTCAGGTTTGGCTGCCTTATTCTTGAAACGTTTATGATTACCACCAAATTTTTTTTTTCCCATCCACAATGGTCCTGATACACATAAATCCATCAGTGTGAAAAATGTAAATAAGTGCAAAAAGTGACTTTGTACGTACGTTTGATGCCTGAGGAGGACGTAGGGGCTCTGGAGGATGAAGAGGAGGAAGAGGAGGATGTTTTAATAGGAAAGGAGGTCTTCCCACGGCGGGAGGAGGGGGCGAGCACCCTGGAGCGCTTCAAAGGAATCACAGCTCTGGGTGGGGGGGCCACTCTGCCATGGTAGTCAAAAAGCCTTGAACAAAAACACAAATATCACTTTTTTCTGTAGGTCTTTAGTCTTTTTTTTCAGAGACGTCAGAAGAGAACGTGCAGATTTATCAGAACTAAAAAGTTCTGACACTTTATTTGACATCAGCTCTTTCTAGTCCCACTATTGCTAATAATTACTGATAAATTCCACCTCCATCTCTAGGCTTCCCCAAATCATTATATAGATGAACGGTTCCCCTCCACAGATCCACAGAGGATGAAAAGAGGAGGGTGCTAAATGTTAAATGAAAGCGTCAGCCTTCCTTGTTCTCAGCTCTCAACACCACTGACATTTAGGAAAGAGAAAATGACTTAGCAGTGGAGCGTGCTGATTGCTGCTGGATAAATGAGAGAAATCAAGTGGTTTCTCATTCATTTGTATCTTTGATCCAAACCGCAATTAAGACTGCACAACAGTTTCAAGAAGTCTTTATTAGAAAAAATAAGTCACTCGATTTAATAAAAACATTTGCAGACTGTAACCGTCATATGCTCTAAATGCATTGTTTCTGCACAGGCAGATGTGTTTTTGTGAATAACTTTATGCTAATGCAATTTATAATTATTTTGCAGGATGTGTATTTTGGGGGGAATTACCAAAACAGTAAAAACGTTTAGTTACTCCATTTAATATAACACTGAAATTATTTTATAGAGTTAATGCTCCTTGTGCATTTTTTTTTGTGTCATTGACTCCCATGTACATTTTTATCTGATAAGTCAAAATATTAGCAACATAAATTTTTATTACTCTGCCTGGGTTCCCACATCAGCCAAGACTCGATTTTTAGTTTTTGTTATTTTCCACATGATTGCATATGTTCCCCATGTATAGCAGGAGCAATATCAATGCAATCATCTCATTAATCCTATTCTTAGCTGCTTATCGGGCAGCAGCCTAAGCTGAGAAGCCCAGACTTCCCTCTCCCCAGCTACTAGGGCCAGCTCCTCCAGGAGGATCATAAGGTGTTCCCTGGTCAGCCGAGAGACAATAGTCTCTCCAAAGTTTCCTGGGTCTTCCCTTGAGTCTCCTGCCGGTTGGACGTGCCCAGAAAACCTCACCAGGGAGGTGTCCAGGAGGCATCCTAACTAGATGCCACCTCAAATGGCTCCTTTCGGTACAGAGGAGCAGTGGGTCTACTCCAAGCCCCACCCACATGACTGAGCTTCTATGTATATACCCATTTATGCGACTCCAATGTGTTGAAAAATCATCCACAAATCATCTGGACACAACACACAAAAAATAAACTATTAAATGTTTTCCCATTTTTCTACATTTCTGGTTTTGATCACACCTGCAATCAAGGGGGGAATAAAGAAGTTAAATCTCAGAAATGCACAAATATTTTATTATATTTTGTGGGGACTGAAGCCAAGGATAAAATTCTTTCTAAAATAGCAAGTATGCTTCTAAACAATCAAAACTTTATTAAAAACCAGTAAAAAAAAAAAAAAAAGCACACAGGGAGCATTTGGGAGACACGGCACACGAGGGGTCTCTCCCTTTCTGGTGGCAGTTCTTCTTTTTATGCTGCTCAGGAGCTAATTAGCAGCTGTGGTGCAGCTGTGGCAGCTGCAGGGATGAGGAGGACATATTTGGTGCCTTAGGCCTGCCGAAGAGACTCAGGGAAAACAAGAGATGGCTCAGGCCAAAGTTCCACAGGTCCTGCTCCCTGAACAAAAAGGCACCGGCCGTAATAGGATGAAAGATTCACTGTAGTGTGAAGCGTTTTGGAGTCATCTGACTCTGAAATGTTCTATACAAGTGAAGGTCATTTATAATTATCATTCATCAAAGTAGGGCACTCAAGTAACATGAATAAAAATAATGAAACTTTTATTTAAGTCAAGTAAGTAAGTTGATATTTCTGTGTTTATGGCAATATTTTTTTGTGTAACTTACATTTTGATGATGGTTTTATATGAACTGCAAACATTATGGTGACAGAAAACCTCACAAACCAGTAAGTTACAAACACTGTTCCTGCAAAATTAGCCAGACACGACATACAGCTGTTATTTATTATAGCTGAAATGGTGGCCATATACTGCATTAAGAAACTTTTAGCTCATTCACATCTGACGAAACCAGGCTTTCAACCAGATGCGTATTTGTTGTGGTTTGGACACTTTTACACTTCTGGTGATTTTTCTACCCGCTACGCTTCCACAAAGAATCAGCTCAGCAGATCGAAACAGTAAACTTTCCAGCAACTTTCAAAATAAAAGACACATGCAAATTTCCAATTTTTTAACTAGTAAAAAATACTTTTCTGGTCGTTCCATGTGACGCCCTCATAGACAAAGGAAACAAAACAGAAATGAAACCACAGACTTCCTGTCACCGTTTGTCACCATTTCTCATATTACTGACTGCTGAAAAAATCACACGTTATCTCGCAAATTCTCAGTTACCAACTTCACAGCTAATTAGTGTCTGAAACACTCCTGGTACAAGGGGACACACTTCTGTTCTCACTAGTAAACTCTTTCCGAACATAATTAAGTTAGGCGCTGCTTACGCATCCAGTGGAAAGCCTGGGTTAGACGTAACTTAAACCTGTTACAGACATTGTTATTGAAGGCTTTCTTTAAAACAAAAACTTTCAGTGTTGGTAAAACTTAAAAAAAACATGTGTTGTTTATTATTTCTTAAACACATGGAGGAAGTTGATTGTTAGTTGATCCTTTAGTCATCTATTAGCTTCCTGATTTGGGGGAACTAGACAGAAACTATCAAAGGTCTGGCATCATAAACATTTAAAGACTGTTGAACATGATATAGAGGCCAAATGATATGTTTTTTAAGGCCGGTGCAGATACTGATTTTTAAAAAATTTTGTTGCAGATGGCCAATATCTAAAGCCGATTATTAAGGCAGATATGTTTATGTTTATGTATTTAGCAATGCTTTTGTTCAAAGCGACTTATAGGTGATAATCAAGGCAGCAGGTTGCCCTTGACAACAGCTAACAAATACTATTCAGTCAGAAGTAGGTGGCAGTGAGGCAGCATAATCAATCATAGCGGGAAGCGAACGTGGAGCGTGCAGTAGAGTGGGGGACAGGTGCTGGGAGGGTGCTAGTTTAGAAGATGCTCTCTGAAGAGCCGGGTCTTCAGGAGTTTCCTAAAAATCGACAAGGAAGCTCCGGTTCTGTAGTGCTTGGTAGGTCGTTCCACATCAGTGGAACGACACATGAAAAGAGTCTGGATTGTCCTGAGCATGATGTAAGCACAGTGCTAGCCGACGATCTTTCGATGACCGGAGCGGCCGGCCCGTGACGTAAGCTTTGGCAAGAGGATTCAGGTAGATGGGTACCATGTGTGTGCTCAGATCAGCTGATCCGTGCCGGTCTGACCCACTGCGGTGTGCACCAGCAGTACAGAGCGAGAGGGGGAGGAGACTAGATCTGTTTAACTTAACAGGACAAACAGCTGAAAGTTGGAAGGACTGTGTAACGGAATGAAATGACTGTTTTCCACCTAAAAGTCATTTCCCCCCTCTCCTCAGCAAGAACTAATCTGCATGAGATATTGCTCAAGGTCTCATGCATTTGCTTCTAAACTGTTTCCTTTCCAGCCCAAGAAAAGAATGAAGACAAAGGACTCTTTCTTTTTAACAAATCAAAGAACTCTATTTTTAATAAAGCTAATCAAACAAAGTGTTAGTCAATAATAAAATGTGAACCATTTTTTGAAATGAAAATATTAATTATTAAACCTACAGAATATAATAAGTAATATAACTTTAAATGTTTCCACTAGAGACTGATCACACGTAGCGTTAAGATATGACACATTGCTTTTACTGATCCAATCAGAATCTTCCAGATCTGACGGAGGTGTGGTTTTGGTGGTGTTTGGTAAATCTGTCCTCTTTTCATTTGACTGTAAATCAAAACATCCGAGGTATAAAACTATGCCTATGTCATCTTTAACGCCAGTTCAAAGCGTTCTAGAGAAGTTGTCGGGAGTGGCCAATCCGTAACTTTCCTCTTCAGCCGAAAGAGCCAACAACAAGTTGGAAAAAATCTGTTGCTGTTCCAACTGCTGCAACGGTTCCTTTCAGAATAAAAGCTGAACCATCACGACCCCGTTTTGGGTCTCGCTAGATGCCAATAAAACTGTCGTGACCTGGGAGTATCTCAAAGACAGGACTGGTCGGCGGCCGCGGCTGTTCTACAGGCTTCGATTCCAGAAAGGTCCAAGCTGGACCTCTACACCTCCTGATCTAACGGGGACTTCCAAAACGGTACGTAGGCTGGCATCTCAATGTGTGTTATGAATCTCCAAACCAAAGCTTAGCGTGAAAACATCAACTTCACTCCCATCAGAACGAATCGTTTCATTTGCTGGTTCTGAACAACATTCCACATTACACCATTCTCCATCTCACTTCACCTTAGTTACACCATACATTTAGTGTTTAAAGTTAGTCTAGTTTGAATTTGTTTAGCAATAAATCTTTAAACTTTTAAAACTTGACTCTTTCTTTTGTCTCTGAGTTAATACGAAGTTGTTACATAATCCCTGCAATAAAAAGTTCCAATCTTCTGGTTAAAAGTACCCACAGGTCCATAAGATTGATTTCATAGTTTCTATAGAATCTCATACTTTATGGTTCATTAAATAATATGTAAATTTAATCGTTACAACTGTGCGTTGCCTGCAGCACCAAATCTGCGGGTCTGCAGCCTGATCACCTCTCGGCCCTGATCTGCTTGGATGTAAACAGCAGTGCCTTTAGCTCCCGATCAGCTGATGACAGCCATTAAATATATGTTTTAGCAGCACATTGATTGTGAAAGACTACTGAACACTCACTGTGTGCAACATTAATTAAATAAGTCAATAAATCTCTTAATATTTCTTGAACTTCAAATATAAAACACACTCAAAACATAAAATAAATTAGGAAAACGGTGTGTTGGGGTCCTTTCTCCAGTCTAGTAGTGGCGGTAGTTGGCAACATAGGTGCCTGATTTAAAATATTTTTTATTGGCTTTTAAAAATAATTTTGGCCGACATACAAAGAAATGAATATATCGACCAGCCTCTATTCTTACATACATTTAACCCTATAAAACCTCTCGTTCTGCTTTGAAAAGGCACATCTTTCAAACAAATCAGTATGGCTGAATATGAATGAAACTTACCTGCTGTAGAAATCATCTCTGTAGTATTCATAATCAAATTCATAACCACTAGGAGAGAAACAGAAAGAGAAAAACGAGAGAAGGGAGTTAGATGGAGAAACACAGATTTTATTGGGTCTGACAAAACCGAGAAAATATGACGTGCCACCCAGGTGAGTAAAACCAAAAATAAACAAATAAAACAAACATAAATTGAAGTTTGAAGTAAAAAAATATGTTTTTCCAGAGGCTAAAACCAAAGCTAATCATTAGAAATCAGGGCTGACAACTCATATAAAATAATCCATTTTAGAGTATTTTGTGCTTATAAATAAAAGTGTAATATTCACACATGTAATCAGATGAACTTTGGGACATAAAAATCTGGACCAAAACCCCAAACTGGATGAATAAGGTGAGCAGTGGTTATAACTAAGTCCAGCTGGCCAGCATCAGGTGAAGTTTCACGCCGGGGATACACCGGCCGCGGAAGCGCCGCGAAAATGGGACCGCCTTCATTCGGCGCCCTTGTTAAGCTATTCTATAGACCACATGGGCCGCAGAAGCGCCGCGAATCGCCTCGCGCCGGCGCTCCAGCCCGCGCCGTGCAGCTATCATTTCGGCGTTGGCTCTATTTTTTTCGCGAGCCGCAGGTGAATCGCATCAATTCTGGCAGGAAGTCAAACGTAGACAGAAGAGGCAGGCCGGTAAAGTTAACAAAATAAAGCATTTCAAAATAAAATTCCGCAATAGTCAAATGTGTTCGTAATCAGACACTGCAGAAAAACCACACGAACACGCACACACATCGAACTTGTGTGCGTGTGTGATCACATGAAGGGGGGTGTGGTTTTGGGAGTCTTTTCACCGGAGCAAACAGGACAGAGAGGCAGAAAGTCTGAGGCAAGCAGTTAGGATGGATGACTTTAAATGAATTATGGAAGTTGAGAAACACAAGGAGCTGTACGACCCCCGAAAAACATGATTATTTACGCACCCATTTCGGAAGCAACTGCTAGGATACAGCTGCAGAATTGGAGCGGGTTCCAAGAGATTCAACTGGCAGAAACAACTGGTTCATACCATTGGTCTCACACACACACACACACACACACACACACACACACACACACACACACACACACACACACACACACACACACACACACACACACACACACACACACACACACACACACACGCGTACAAACACTCAAACGTAGAGGAAAAGAGCTGAGAAAAGGCAAAGAGGAAATGGAGGACACCAAGTGTTTAAAAGAAAAATTACAGCTGAGCCGAGGCGTGCCTCGACTGGGGCGCGTCTGATCTGAACTGAGGAGCGGCGAGCAGCGGCCGAATTTCGTGAGCGATTCGCTTCTCGGCGCTTTGCTTCCGCGGCCGGTGTGTCCCCGGCGTCAGGCAGCGTCCTTCATCAAACGCTCAAGAATATCATAAATCAAAGTATTTTTAATTACTCGGTGATAAGTTTCAAGTATTCTAAGAATCATTAACATGAACCTATCAGAAAATTTGTGACATTATGTTTGATCATCGGTTTCATCCTATGTAGTACCAGCTGATAAGAGAAAAATTGGTTTTCGCTGACATTACTACTTAAAATCATAGCTGCCTTATAAGTAAAACATCTGTTGCTTCATTAAAATGCAAGCGTTATCCTTTGCCAGTCTTCCCGTCTCAACAGGGAGGACAACGACCTTCCTCAGACCACGATGGTCTGTGTTATCAGTTATACTCCCATGGGAAACAGAATGTTGACCGAATGCACCTGGTTTTGTATGAGGGAGTTGTGGCATTGTTTTTACTCCCTATGTTAAACAGCTTTCCACCTGAATCTCTACGGAGCAGTTTAGGAATGTGATGTGATGTGTTGTGTGTGCTTGGTAATAAAAGCCCTGAGAGAATGGATGTTCTCTGAGAGATCCTGTGAACCATGCTTGGGTGTGTATTCCTTTCATCTCTCCACTTTGCAAAGTAAAATTGAACAATAATATTGCTCTAATCTTCTGTGCGTTTGACTTCTCTTAAGGTGACCTGGTTTTAATAAAAATAACCCAACACCAGCTAGCACAGCTGATATGGTGGTACAACTATCAGCATAGAACCTCTTAAGAAAATAACTTATTGTTGTTTAATTTTTATTTTCAAAAGATTAGAAAAAGGAAATTAGGATTCTACCAGAGAGGTGAAAAGGGAGGAAGACAAAACCTAAACCTCCACGAATTAGCTTAAAAACGCTTCAGAAGACCAAAGACAGAGGAGGACTGGATTTACCCAACTTTTATTATTATTTCTTAGCCAACAGGCTGCAATATATACCAAGATGGTTGCAAGATAACCCACTAGATGAGTCCTGGTTAGATATAGAACAGACACTTTGCAATACGATAGAGCTTTCAGACTTACCATTTATTAGCTCAAGCATAAGAAAACATGAAAGCTTCAAAAGTATTAGTATCAGCACCTCTCTGACAGCATGGTGGGAGTATCTTAAAATGACCGAGTCTTCACTAGTACCATGCAGACGCACACCTATCTGGAATAATCCTGACATTTTGCAAAACAACAAAATGATGAACCTTCCGGACTGGAAAATAAAGGAATCCTATACCTGGAACACATATATGAAGGATTGGACTTCATTCCATTTAATCAAATAGTCTCCCAATTTGGAATGGATAAGAATAGCTTTTTAGAATATCACCAAATTAAATCTGTAGTTAAACAAAAATTTAAGCTCAATAAAATAGAATTACAAACACCACCAAGGGTATTAGACTTTTATAATCTCAAACCCCCCAAACTACTGTCTAAAGTATATAAGACACTGTCCAAAATAGACGATAAAATTGCAATCCCTATTGAAAAATGGGAGGTGGATCTATCAGTTAGCTTTGACCAGGACTTCTGGTCCCAAACTTGTTTAAAAACTTTTAAAATGATCAGACACCCCAATTTACAATTAATTCAGTACAAAATTCTACACAGAGTACACTATACAGGTCATCGGATGATCAAGATGGGGTTTGTGTCGTCTGACACCTGTACACACTGCACAAACAACATTCCTGACAATTACATTCATGCACTGTGGTCCTGCCCACCTGTCCAGTATGTGAGGATCTGTCAAAATGTCTGAAATGTCATATCCCAACTTCCCCCTCTCTTTGTTTATTGGGAAACCTGGACGATGTCCCGATTGAAACATCTTTGGTTCACGTGGTTCTAACTGCCATATGCATCGCTAAGAAAACTATCCTCTTGAATTGGAAAAACAGAGAAACTCTCTGCATTAACCAGTATAGAAATATTTTGTTAGATCATATTGCACTTGATATAGCCTCTGCTTCCACTTCAAATCAATCTCTCTGGGCCCCTTTGATCGGTTCCATCACATAGCGAGGGTGGGGGGCCGTTGATGTTGTCCTACGAGATGGTGTAGGTGGGGGGGTGTGGGGTCTGAGTTTGGAGTATCCGGATGTTCCCTGGAGGTGGGTTCACTGGGGGTGTCTGGGACTGGGGGGCCGTTGCCCCCCTCTGGAGGTGCTTGGGTTGCCTCGGGGGGTGGACTACTGGTAGTTGTGAGTGAGGCCCCTTGGGGGGCTTGGCGGCGGCCATGGGTCACTGACTGGCGGCTGCAATGCCCCTGGGCGGGTCTGGGTGGGGGCCTGGGGGCTCGGGGTTTGGGGGTGGCCGGCCCCTGGTGGGGATCTGGGCGGGGCCTTGGGGGTCGGGTCCTGACATGTATGCTGCCGGGAAGAAGGCAGGAACACGCAGCAGTGCCTGGCCCGGGTTCGGGGGCCTCAGGTAGACCTTAGCTCCTCTGCCATTCCATCACAGAGGACGTGGGAGGTTCAGGAGGGGGAGGACCCAACCTTACCTGGATGTCCCATGTCTTATATATTCTGGAAGTTGTGCAAATGCAGGGATGGGCATAGACATTCTGCTGGGGTGGGGCTGGGTTGGTGCCCTCGGACTCCGTGGGGCTCTGTAATGCTGCTGCTTTGGACCCTAGCAGGATGGGCTGGGGTCTCCATGCCCTGGGTGGCAGTTTGACAACAAAGGTGCCTATTGGGGCCAGTAGGGGAGCTGGCTCCCTGGAGGGCTAAGTCCAGCCAGCCATTCCTCCCCATCCCCGCATATTTCTCTCCTCCTGCTCCCTCACATCATCACACAAACATACACATAGGATCTTGGGGGGTGGGCAAGTCAGGGAGTGCGGGTATGGACCCCATTTCCGCATTCCTGTGGCAACCTACCCCCCAATTTTATTTGCACCATATACACTTCCACTGACGACATTCCACACAAACACACACTTAGGGCCTTGGGAGTGAGCACATTCAACGGCATTTGGCAGGGGGATATTTCAGCCTCCTCCCGGGTGCCGGTGCCCACTTCCAATTTTAAACCGCACTTAGACACTGATGGCTGAGGGTGTAAGTGGGGTGGTGCGGTGGCACCAGCTGGCATAGGCCGGATGATGCCCGCACTGCCCACTCACCACAGCCATAGAATACACCTCATGATCACACAACACTATATTGGAGCAGGCTGAGGGAGACTAGGGGTCTTAGCCACCTCTGTTGTTGCTAGGCCTCCTGGGGCTGGAGGCTAGGAGGGAGATCTGGCCGTCTGGTTGGGGTTTGGGGTGGTGGGTTGCTATGCTCGGCGTTGGGCGGGGGAGCCTGCTCATCAACACCCCAGCAGAAAGGGTCAAACTCTGGTTACCGGTGATGGTTGTACCCAGTGTGCAGTAGTACCGGGACCAGAGTGAATAGGGTGTGTATGGGGAGCATGAGTGGGTGTCCGGCGTGCATTTTTGTAAGTCTTGGGTTGTATGTGCATGTGTGAGCATGAGGGAGGGAGTGTGTGACTGTGTTTATGTATGATTGTATATGTCAGGTGGGGCCTTTGACTCCTCCCCTCTCCTGGAACCTCTCTTGATGATATAGATCTTTGTCCCCCCTCCCCCTGCCACACCTGGTGTGAGGGGTTGTGCCATGGTCTGCCTGAGTGTTCGTGGCAACCGGGTCTGGGGGTTTAAGATTCAGGCATCTGCCTGATAGATCCCGGTGGCTGCCTGGTGGGGTCTGGGTCCCTGGGCTCTGCTGGGTCCCCGGCGGGGGTGGTCACCCCTGGGTCCCGGGTCGCTGGGTCTCGGGCTCGGCCGGCTAGGGGGTGGGAGGCTGCGGGCGGGCCTGTGGGCTTGCCGCTGATATCTCCCGGGACTCTGCCGGCTGCTGGTTGTGGCCCCCCGGGGCGATCCTCTGTGCCTCTCGGGGGGGGGGGGGGGGGGGGGGGGGGGCTTTCCTGGTTGCAGTCTCCTTGGGGTTCCTGTGTTCTGGGGCAGCACCTGGATCTCTGGGACTTGGAGCTCCCCCCGTCTCCTGCACATCTTTGAGGGGCGGATCTGTGGTCCCTCGCACTCTCTGTTGGACGCTCCTATAGAGAAACCTTACATAAACAAGCGCGTGTACACACACAGGTGCTCACATGGTGCTCTCAAAAGTATGGGCTTGGGAACGTTAAACACAGGTCTTAAGACTATGGTGGGCACTTAATGCACTGTGATTTATTATCGTGATTCTTCAGTTAAGCAATGTTGATTATATATTTTCTTCATCAAGTTGACGCAGTGATAGCTAGATCTTGTTGTATTGTTGTTGTGTCCCTTTTTTTGCCTTTTTCTGCAGGTCTAGAAGCAGACTCTTGTTCATTGTTTATTTTTGTGGAACACCCCCCCCCCCCTCTCTCTCTCCCCACCTTTTCTTTTCCTTTCTCTTTCACCTCTGTCTCCGTGTCTGGTCGGAATTACAATGCATTCAACAACAATAACAATAAAGTTTTAAGTATCAGGCGTGACATTAAAAGCAAACACTTAACAAGGACATTGTGCATGTGCTCCATTAGGGTGATTTTAGCTGCATGCCTAGATGTAAGTGAAATATTTTTAGGGTTTTTGCAGGACCTGGGTAACTTCTTCTTTCCACCGGCCATGAAAATGGTCACACAACATAATAGCAGCATTTTTCCTGCATGCTCACTCCCAACTGGGAGCAATTCTGATGTGAAACAAATTTAACACGCAATCGTTCATGATGGCTCATTTCCTTTTATGTATTCTGTCTTTTGTTTGTGCCTGATGCGTTTCGCTGCTGTGGAGCGGGGCGCATCATCTGATTTGTCCTCCGGTGATGCACCTCAGTGGTGCGGCCGGTGGGCAGCACGCCCTCTGCTGTTTTTGCGGTCAGTAGATCTTTTAGAACTGCAGTTCAAAGGTAACTCATAAGGTGAATATATTTGAAGCCAGGTAGCAGTTTTTCTTTAGGATATAGAGGAGATGCAGGAAGATAATAGGACAGAAAAAAAGTCAAATAAAACAAGTTCGTTTTTCTACCTGGTGGTTGGAACAAACAGACACAGAAAATGAAATAATTATTTTAATGTTTAGAGCAGCAGGAAGTCTGAGAGGCTGCAGGCACATCAGTGAGTTTGTGGCCGCTGCGCAGGGGAGGGGGGAGAGGGCTGCAGCAGGGGAACAGTAAAGATGCAGAAACTACAGTTGTTAGAAGAGATGTGTTTAATTTTGAAAACGTGGGCACAATTTTAACTGTCAAAATCTCCAGCGAACCCACCCGCTACAGGTGTATGACATCATCAACGACTAGTCAAAGTCGACTCGCTTTTCATTACTTGACTGTCGACTTTAAAAAAAATTAAGTCATGCAGCCCCTATGCCACACAGTCTGTTTTGCAGCCACTTTGCGATGTTTCGCGTGCGGTGGAAAGAAGAGGTAAGCAGTGGAAATCAACATCAGTGAGGCTAGCTGTGAAAAGCATAAATAGCTACCATGAGGTTTTATTCCATGAATTACCCAAAGACGTTTGTTGCTTATGGTGCACATCAACACATGGTACATATTCACACTAATGTTAGCACAATTTAGGTAAATACATGTTTACTAAAATAATTTTAAGAGCAAAATGAATATTATATGGATTATGAAAACCTTTTACTTTAGTTGCTGAAATAAGAAAATCAGAGTTCAGAATGGCAACAGAAACAAAAGAGACTACAAGCTCCGACGGCCCCGTAATAAATTCAGCCTGTTTCACAGGAATCTTAATTAGGATTTATGTGTTATTATTCCATTTCAGAAAGATTTGCTGTTGGTTTTGTGTTCCTGGCTCATAATTACCATTTCACATCCTGTCTCTTTTCAGCTGCAGCTATGAAATGCAAATGAGGATTTATAAAAACACAATGCTCTAGCTAATGAATTAGTAAAAAAGGAGAAACAAACCAAAAAAAAAAAAAAAAATTAAAATAGAAGCAATTGGTGGGACTGGTAACATCTCCTTTGGGAAAACTATTAGTGTGCCAGTGAATGTGATGCATAACTGGACCTTTATCACATCTGAATGCAGTAAACAAGCAGCATAAATATGTGTCTGGGACAAGGAAAACCAGGACAGTGTCTAATGAAGAACATTATTTTCTCTTCATGTTTGAGCCTGTATACTGCACTCAGGGCAGAGGAATACAAACAAAAAACCCTTAACAAATAGAATTTCAAAGCTTAAAACTGCTAAACTGACAGCAAAGTTGAGCTTATATACGAAAGATGGCTGCAAATATTAGTTTATACTCATAACAGCATCGAATCTTACCTGTAAACAGCTGACAGTGGCCGTTTGTTGCCCGCTTTAGGCCTGTATGGTTTAGGCTCACCTGCCATATTTATGTCTGTAATAAGACAAACACAAACCTGGGGTTATTGATGGTACTCAGAGATCATTTATCTTAGGAACTTCATTTAAAAATGCATAAAAACAATTTGTGCAGGTGTGATCAAATGTTTGTTGCATTTGTGCAAATGTTTAATTATTTAATAATTAGAATGATCCCTACGACCCAAGATGTAGATGAAGTGATCACATCACCATGACAGCAATCAGCATGTGAATATTTAACTATTAAAGCAGGGTATCTGCAGGTTTAAGGGAGCCAAATTTAAGACTTTTTAAGACCTTTTTTAAGGCCACTTGGACCAAATTTAAGCTATTTATTAAAATTAAATTTAAGCTATAATTTCCAGCTATTGCCTGGAACCGGTGCTAACCACGTTGCGAACGTGGGATTAGCCATCCAGTTACCATTAATGTTGCACTTCCCCATGGTGCAAACTCCCACTAACGTGCTCATCTAAAAATAGCCCCCTTTCACAACCAACCGAATGTGTACGGTTCCGCTTACGCCAATATCACACACAAAAAATGCTGAATACTAACTAGAAATTCACGAAAATTTTATAGAAATAAAAGAATCTTGTTTATTGGGTCTTTGGTAATTTAAGACCTTTGGAAACTATTTAAGGATTATTTGTAATTTTTAAGGATTTTTAAGGCCTTAAATTTGGAAAAGCAAATTTAAGACTTTTTAAGGGCCTGCAGATACCCTGTAAAGGCACAGCTTTCCTTTAATTAATCTATAATGGTCGCCCACTTTCTTAAACTGGAAATACTTGTGTTGCAGTAATTTTGGTCAAATCTTGCAAATAAGGTTTGATGTCATGACATATTACAAGATCTGGTGTAACCTTTCACCACCTAATGTCATTGACCCTAAACAACTCAAACAACTGAGCTGAGTATCGGTAAGTCCGATAGCATCCCCCTACAACACATATGTCAGAGTCAAGGCCCGCGGGCCGCATCCGGCCCGCGGAGCATTTTTATGTGGCCCACGAGATAAATATCAAAAATATATTAAAACTGGCCCGCTGGCCGATTTTACCGCAAAGACTTCAACTCCCATGATGCTTTGCGGCGTCAGCGCGGAGCCGAAGCGCCCCCTCCTTTGTGTTTTTTCTAGCGTCTTCTGCCGGTTGTCTGCAGCTCCACTGTCTCGGACAAATTAATCACTCCTCTCACTCAGCGCCGAGTTCACTCAGCTATTTTCTGACGTTGAAGCCCAGAAACGGAGATTTTAATCGCTCAGTAATGTGTTCACGACTGAAAGAGACATTTTTCCAACTAACATCCAGACAGAGCGGATATAACTCCAGCGAACAGCGACACGCTCAAACCAGCTGCTGTAGTTGTGTTTCCTCCCCGACACACAACAATGTGGTCAAGCTGCTCAGACATGTTAGTCAGCACAAACCTATGTGAGCTCCTGTTGTCATCTAATGTTGTCATTATTATGATGAAGATGAACAAAACAACAGGAGCCTCCTCCTCAGCTCAGATCAACCCCATGATGCAGGTATCTGGCTGGAACAGGTGAGCATCACAGTAAACCAGTGGAGCAAACTGAGCTTTAAATATGCTGGTTTTATGCTCTTTTTCTGCTCCAAAGCATGAAAGTTAACAGGTGAGATGTTGCATTTTCATTTAAGATAAATAATACTTTTATTTTGTTGTTGGCACGTGAGAAAAGATTTAACCTACAGTAAACAGGAAGTGGAAAGGCTGCAGATAGATGAATAGAATAGAAAATCCCTTTATTGTTCCTCAGTGGGGAAAGCTGTCACAGCAGCGATGACACGTATTACAGGAGAAAAAAATGAGAATAAAAAATAAGAAAAATGAATAAACAAGAAAACATAAATCCTGAATAGATTTTAAAAATACTGAATACACCACAAGTAATGAATACCACTGATGCCTTTTATTTAAAACTGACTTGCTCGTGTGTAATTTGGTTATTCCACATTCAGTGTTAATGCAGAAATATGTTTGTTTCCAAATTTAAAGGTTCAAAATTGCATATATGTTGAAAAAGAAAATGTGCAAATTTGCCGTCACTTTTTCAAAAAATATTAAGTTTGGCCCTCGACTCCGTCCCAGAGTTTCATTTCGGCCCTTTGTGAGTTTGAGTTTGACACCCCTGCCCTACAACAAGGCTGCGTTTTGAGTATCTTTGGATAGCCTTGTTGCTTTGCTGTGATGTATTCAGGCTTAACATGTAAACTTGGAAATGATAAATGGCCTTTTAATAGTGTATTTTAGAGTACTAGACCCTCTAAGGCACTTTCATGCAGAACAAGCATTCATCCATTCACATACTGGCAATGAGCTACAATGTAGCCACAGCTGCCCTGGGGCACATTGACAGAAGTGAGGCTGCCCTACACAGGCGCCACTGGTACCTTCAAGGAGGGTGATGTGTCTTACTCAAGGATACGACTAGGCAGTAGAAAAAAGGTTGATAAAAAATAACTTCATATTGATCAATATCGAGAGCTAGGAGCTAAGTTGTCTGAGGCTTTCTGCTTCTGGAAGGGTCACCCATGTCAAACATGGGTGACACTTTGCAAAGCAAGAATTTGGTCTAGTTCACTAGGCTAGTGGTCCTGTTGACTTCATCAGAACGTGATCTTCAGCTTTCGCTGGAGCGGTTCACAGCCGAGTGTGAAGCAGCTGGGATGAGAATCGGCTCCTCTAAATCTGAGACCATGGTCTTGATTCGGAAAAGGGTAGAATGCCTTCTCCTGGCTTGCTAATAATTTCCTTAAGCTAAATGATTCTAAGTCTGAGGCACTCCTGATGACCCCTAACCAAACAACTCAAATATCTTCTGATTTGGCCACTCTCCCTTTTGACCTCAAGCAGTGTGTTACCAACCTTGGGGTGAAATTTGATACACAGTTTTCCATGGGCCCTCAGATTAATGCAGTGGTCAGATCGTGTTTTTATCAGCTGCGCAGACTAGTCCGCTTAAAACCGATCCTGAAACGAGCGCACATGGAATCCGTAATCCATGCTTTTATCATCTCTCGACTGGATTATGCAAATTCCATTTTAATTGGTTTACCTGCCTCCGCTCTTAACAGGCTTCAGGTCGTACAAAACGCAGCACCCAGGTTTTTAACAAACACTCCTAGGAGAGAACATATCACACCTGTACTGGCGCAGCTCCACTGGCTACCCGTAAACTTTAGGGTCAAGTTTAAAATCCTGATTTTTGTTTTTAAGGCCCTGAACGGTCTGGCACCGGATTACCTGTCGGATCTTGTCACTAGATATGTGCCAAACCGGGCATTGAGGTCTGCTGATTGCCTGCTGCTTCGTGTTCCATTAATTAAATACAAAACGCGGGGGCAGCGTGCTTTTGTCTACGCTGCTCCGACACTATGGAATGCACTTCCTCTTTCGGTGAGGCTGGCACCATCCCTCCTCCGGTTCAAATCGCTGCTGAAGGCTCACTTTTACGACCAGGCATTTTTAAATCCCTGACTTTTATTATTGTATTATGTGTCTTTTTATTGACTGTAATTATCTGCCTTGTTGTGCATTTTATTGTTGACCGTGTAGTGTTTTATATTGTGTTTTTACTTTTTATTCTGTACAGCACTTTGGTCGGCTGCCATGCTGTTTTTAAATGTGCTTTATAAATAAAGATGGTATGGTATGGTATGGTAAGGATGTGGTCCTGCCCCAAGTGGAGGAGTTTAAGTGTCTCGGGGTCTTGTTCACGAGTGAGGGAAAACTGGAGCGTGAGATCGATAGGCGGATTGGTGCTGCATCTGCAGTGATGCGGGCGTTGTACCGGTCTGTCGTGGTGAAGAGAGAGCTGAGTCAGAAGGTGAAGCTCTCGATTTACCAGTCAATCTACGTTCCTGCCCTCACCTATGGTCATGAGCTTTGGGTAGTGACAGAAAGAACGAGATCGCTGATACAAGCGGCCGAAAGGAGTTTTCTCCGAAGAGTGGCTGGGCTCTCCCTTAGAGATAGGGTGAGAAGCTCGGTCATTCGGTAGGTGCCCGGAGTAGACCCGCTGCTCCTCCACATCGAGAGGAGCCAGTTGAGGTGGCTTGGGCATCTGGTCAGGATGCCTCCTGGACTTCTTCCTGGTGAGGTTTTCCGGGCACGTCCAACCGGGAGGAGACCTAAAGGTAGACCCAGGACACGGTGGAGGGACTATGTCTCTCACCTGGCCAGGGAACGTCTTGAGATTCCCCCGGAGGAGCTGGCCCAAGTGGCTGGGGAGAGGGAAGTCTGGCTCTCTCGCCTTAGGCTACTGCCCCCGGGACCCGACTCCGGATAAGTGGATGAAAATGGATGGATGGATGATCAATATCGATAAATATTGAAAAATATTTATGTTAGGGCTGCAAGCTATTAGGAAAACCTGCAATATGCGATAACAGTGATTAATATTGTGATGGTGATATTACTTGCGATAAATAAAAACTTAACTCAGGAACAAAAATAATCAAAAACAAAGAAATTTAAAAAATGACAAAATGTGAAGAAATGGAAAAAGAAAATGAACAAGAAAATGAACAAGAAAAGGCAATCAGTGGATCCCGCAAAAACCAGAATCAGCAGAAAGAGCAGAACAAAGCTAACTCAGGTGTTTGCTAACCATTAAGTGCTGTCCGCCTCGAGGGCGGGCATCTAACCTATGAGAACCCACCCACTTGGCAAAATGGGTGAAGAGCTCTATTTGACTTGTTAAAAAAACATCATGCTTCCATTTGATTGACAGAATGCATTATTTGTAGCAAACATTTGAGCTGACCATTCATTATGATATTTATCTGTTCTTTGCGATGTGCATAATGTGCATGCTGATATCGCGATAATGATATATTTGTGATATGTTGTGCAGCCGTAATATATGTATAAAAATAACTGTAAAAATATATGTTTTAATCCTGGCCCTAGCCTTTTAATGCTAATTCTTAATTAACTACATTCAATAAAGAACAGACAGAAACTGAATTAAATTCAATATTT